ATGGCTATCTGTCTGGACAGCTTTGATTGTGTCTTCCTTTATGGCAGAATGGGGCTGGACTGGATGGCCTTTGGGATTCTATGATTCTGTGACCTACTATCACTGGACAAAAACCACTGCTGTGACTCACTTTCTGCAATCCTCCGACGAGGCCATCATCAAAGGGATTCTAATAATTAAAAAATATCACCTTTCCTTCCGCTCAGCAGCAGCGCGCATCCCCAAACGCCGAGAGGTAATTGCATGGCTTGATAATGGGTCCTTCCTCTCCTCCTTCATTCGCTCACCTTCATTTCCAACTCCAGCCCGGTCCTTGAGACGGTGGCATGGGTTTTGTTTGCCCGCCCCAGGATTAAAAGCCGCAAAGCCAGCTGGGCAGCGCTCCTCATTGCCTTTTATTTTTTGAAAAAACAGCTTTAATTGGTCAAACCATTTGCACTTCAAAGGCCGTTTGGAGAGGAGATCTAGGGACCCGGCTCAGAAGCCAAAAAGCCCCAAAGGCCATCTTTCTTGAAGCAGAGATGGACATCCTGTCGCTGCGGGATGAAGGCAGACCTCCTCTAAGCCTTTAAAACAAATTGGCAAGGTGTTCGGAAATGTGTTTTCCCCCCTCTTTCCAAATCATACAGAACGTCCTTTGAATACGTGAACAGATGCACATCAATGTATGCCCACCATACCAGCAGACCAGTCTTGTACACGCGCGTCTCCATTGAGCTTCTCAAAATGGCAACAAGAAGGGATCCTGCTACTGCCATAAATCTTGCTATTCGAACCTTCTGTTTAACTTTGAATATGTTTTGATTGATGTTAACTATGGATTTTGTTAGTGCTGTTTGTGTTCAATTCTGTTTTAATGATTGCATATTTGTATATTTTAAATTGTATACTAATGTTTTTATACCAAGCTGCTTTGAGTCTCCTTTGCAAAGACAAAGCAGGGTATAAATATAATAATAATAATAATAATAATAATAATAATAATAATAGAATCCTAGAATCAAAGAGTTGGAAGAGACCTCCTGGGCCATCCAGTCCAACCCCATTCTGCCAAGAAGCAGGAATATTGCATTCAAATCACCCCTGACAGATGGCCATCCAGCCTCTGCTTAAAAGCTTCCAAAGAAGGAGCCTCCACCACACTCCGGGGCAGAGAGTTCCACTGCTGAACGGCTCTCACAGTCAGGAAGTTCTTCCTCATGTTCAAGTGGAATCTCCTCTGTTGTAGTTTGAAGCCATTGTTCCGTGTCCTAGTCTCCAAGGAAGCAGAAAACAAGCTTGCTCCCTCCTCCCTGTGGCTTCCTCTCACATATTTATACATGGCTATCATATCTCCTCTCAGCCTTCTCTTTTTCAGGCTAAACATGCCCAGTTCCCTAAGCCGCTCCTCATAGGGCTTGTTCTCCAGACCCTTGATCATTTTAGTCGCCCTCCTCTGGACACATTCCAGCTTGTCAACATCTCTCTTGAATTGTGGTGCCCAGAATGTGGTCTAACCAAAGCAGAATAGAGCATGGGTAGCATGACTTCCCTAGATCTAGACACTATGTTCCTATTGATGCAGGCCAAAATCCCATTGGCTTTTTTTGCCGCCACATCACATTGTTGGCTCATGTTTAACTTGTTGTCCACGAGGACTCTAAGATCTTTTTCACACGTACTGCTCTCGAGCCAGGCATCCCCCATTCTGTATCTTTGCATTTCATTTTTTCTGCCAAAGTGGAGTATCTTGCATTTGTCACTGTTGAACTTCATTTTGTTAGTTTTGGCCCATCTCTCTAATCTGTCAAGATCGTTTTGAATTCTGCTCCTCCTCTAAGCCTTTAAAACAAATTGGCAAGGTGTTCGGAAATGTGTTTTTCCCCCTCTTTCCAAATCATACAGAACGTCCTTTGAATACGTGAACAGATGCACATCAATGTATGCCCACCATACCAGCAGACCAGTCTTGTACACGCGCGTCTCCATTGAGCTTCTCAAAATGGCAACAAGAAGGGATCCTGCTGCTGCCATAAATCTTGCTATTCAAACCTTCTGTTTAACTTTGAATATGTTTTGATTGATGTTAACTATGGATTTTGTTAGTGCTGTTTGTGTTCAATTCTGTTTTAATGATTGCATATTTGTATATTTTAAATTGTATACTAATGCTTTTATACCAAGCTGCTTTGAGTCTCCTTTGGGAAAACAAAGCAGGGTATAAATATAATAATAATAACAACAACAACAACCACCACCACAACAACAGCGTACCTGTCCGAACGTATCTCCTTCTATGTCCCACCTCGGAGTTTAAGATCTTCAGGGGAGGCCCTACTCTCGGCCCCGCCTCTATCACAAGTGAGGTTGGTAGGGACGAGGGACAGGGCCTTCTCAGTGGTGGCCCCTCGCCTGTGGAATTCACTCCCCGGGGAAATTAGGTCATCAACATCCCTCCTCTCCTTCAGAAGGAAGCTAAAAACATGGATATGAGACCAGGCTTTAGGGTAATATGGCAGACTGACAAGAATTTGGAAAGGACTATGGTAATGCTGAATGGACTTACGGATTTTAGAAGTCGGTGAACGTTGGCCGCTAGATTGGCTTTTTAGTTGTTATTTATTAAGTGAATGTTTTAATTATTGTGGTTATTGCTGTCATGTATTTTATCTGATTAATTGTTGGCATCAAATTGTGCCGGTTGTAAGCCGCCCTGAGTCTCCCCGAGGGGGTTGAGAAGGGCGAGGTAGAAGTGCCCGAAATAAAATAATAAATAAACAACTTTCAATTGTATTGCCCTTTGGTGCTGTGATCCACTTTGTGTCTCGATCAATCAATATATATAATGAAATGCTCTGTTCGTTTTGAGTGACATCATAACTCCAAAACCGCTGAAGTAATTGCCACCAAATTTGGCCACAAGACACCTACTAGCCCAAGGAGTGACCATCACTAAAAAATGATTTTGTTATTTGGGAGTTGTAGTTGCTGGGATTTATAGTTCACCTACAATCAAAGAGCATTCTGAACTCCACCAACGATGGAACACAGAACTCCCATGACCAACAGAAAGTACTGGAAGGGTTCGGTGAGCACTGACCTTGAGTTTGGGAGTTGTAGTTCACCTACATCCAGAGAGTGCTGTGAACTCAAACAATTAAGGATCTAGACCAAACTTGACACAAATACTCTGTATGCCAAAATGTAAACACTGGTGGAGTTTTAGGAAAATAGAGCTTCGCATTTGGGAGTTGTAGTTACCTCCCACACAGAACCCCCACGAACAACAGAAAATACTGTGTTTTCTGATGGTCTTTGGTGACCCTTCTCACACCCCCTTGCAACCCCCCGCCCCCCGGGTCCCGAACCCAGGTTGAGAAATACTGCCTTAAGGCCATCCAGTCCAACTCCCTTCACCAGGGCAAGAAAACATAAGCAAAACCCTCATGACAAAGAGCCACCCAACCATAGATATAGATAGATAGATATAGATAGATAGATAGATAAGATTCACACACACACGCACACACATGTATATGACAGATACAGTATCATAGATTTGAAAGGGACTCCTAAAGAAGGACCATTATATGTTGCATGTTCCAGAGGAGGCAAACCAGTCAATCTCTACTTCAACACTGACAAAGAAACAGCAAGAAATACTGTTTACCCACAAGCATCAAGACATTACATCTATAAGAAACCTACACCGTATCATTACTTTATTTACCAGATCGCCAGACTGGGCCACAGCAACACATGGCACGGGATGGCTAATAATAAAATAAAACTTTACTTGTAACCCACCCTATCTCCCCTAGGAACTCAGGGATAAAAGAAGGATACAATAATAATAATAATACGCTGGCAGATTATGTGAAAGGGAGTCAAGAACCAACATTGAGGGAAATCAATAATAGTAAACTGCTTAAAGTGCAAAAGACAAAGAGCGAATACTGTAAAAACACAATCCAGAGCAGAAGAGAAAACTGGTGAAAGAAGGCTCTCCATGGACAGTTCCCGGCAAAGATTCAGAGCCAAATTGACAAATTAAAAACATGGCTGTAGCTCACAAATGGAGCTCTGAAAAAGGAGACAAAGAAGGGCCTGATTCTGGCAGCCCAAGAACACGCCATTCGAACCAATGCCATCCAAGCCAGAATTGAAAAGTCGATGACAGATCCCAAATGTAGACTCTGTAAGGAAGCAGATGAAATAATCGATCCCATCCTCAGCTGCTGCAAGAAGATTGCACAGACAGACTACAAGCAGAGGCACAACACCGTTGCTCAGATGATTAATTGGAACTTGTGCCACAAACACCATCTGCCTGCGACAAAGAACTGGTGGGATCACAAGCTGGAAAAAGTTACAGAGACTGAACACACCAAACTCCTCTGAGACTTCCGGATTCAGACAGACAGAGTTTTGGAGCACAATACTCCTGACCTCACAATCGTGTTAAAAAACACAGTATGGATCGTTGATGTTGCAATTCCAGGTGACAGCAGGATTGAAGAGAAACAACTGGAAAAGCTGACACGATATGAGGATTTAAAGATCGAACTGCAAAGACCCTGGCACAAGCCAGTCAAGGGGGTCCCAGTGGTGATCGGCACACTGGGTGCAGTGCCTCAAGACCTCGGCCTGCACTTAAACACAATCGGTGCTGACAAAATAACTACCTGCCAGCTGCAAAAGGCCACCTTACTGGGATCTGCACGCATTATTTGCCGAGACATCACACAGTCCTAGACACTTGGGAAGGGTCCGACACGTGATCCAATTCAACAGCCAGCAGAGTGTCTGCTGTGGAGACATCTTGTGGTATTTCAAATAATAATAATAATAATAATAATAATAATAATAATAGTAATAATAATAATAGTAATAATAATAATACAACAGCCAACAGAGTGTCTGCTGTGGACTCATCTTGTTGTGTTTCTAATAATAATAATAATAATAATAATAATAATAATAATAATAATAAGGTTATCTGATGAGCCTTACTTACTTACCCTAAAGGCTCGGAGTACAGCCAGGGGGTCGTCGTTAGTGAGCCGGTTAACGAGAGGAGGCCACGTCCGATGCGCTAAAGGAAGGAGGATGTTTTCATGAGCGCTGAGAGCCGCCACACATAATTCCAGAACATCCAGGACCTGCAAAGTGCAAAGAGAACCAGAAAACAGGCAGATTAGGGATTATCCAGACTGCTTTGAGCCACAATTCAAAGTGTGGTGAGGGCCTATCAACCCCATGAATCCAGTTTACAGGTTAGGCTTTTCTCTGAGTCAAATGCTCCTGGTTCGAAAGTGTTATTTACTGTTGAATTGTTCAATCCTTACTCCAAAAACTTCATTTTTGAAACTGCCACAAATTACGTTGAATTGCTTGGGACCCAACAATGAGATATTCATTGGAAAACTAGAGCAAAATGTGCTGCAGGATGACGTCTCCCCCACAACAATCAAGTTCTGGCAATTTAATAAACATTCTCTGCGTTTTTATGATAGAACCAATTAGGAAATGACATTTATAACCCAGGAACAAAACTGGTGTTACATAGAGCTATGTATGCAGGTTGCTCATTTTTATCAAAAGGGGAAAATTGTGATACCCCAATGATAAAATAAACAGAATGGAAAGTAATATATATATATTTTTTAAAAAATACATATCTGTATTCTAGATTGTCACTCCAGCAATACAGCTGAAAACCTACCGCACATATAAAAACGTAAATAAAATGGAAAAACATACACACCAACAAAATTAACAAACACAAATATTAGTCTATGAACCCCATTTATTAGTCTTCCCATCTTTCCTTCTCTTCTTCTTCCTTCTCTATCTCTTTCCTTCCTTGCCCCTTTTTCTTTCTGTTCTGGTGTCTCTCTTTTTTTTCTTCTCTCTTTCCTTCTCTCCCTCTTTCTCTACATCTTTCCCCTTCCTTCTCCCTCTTTCCTTCCTTCTTTTCCCTTTTTTCTTCCTTCTCCTTCCTTCTCTAACTTTCCTTCCTCCCCCTTTTTCTTTCCCTTCCTCTTTCTCTTTCTTCCTTCTCTACCTCTTTCCTTCCTTCTTTCTCTTTGCTTCCATGCTTCCTTCTCCCTTTCCTTCTTTCTTCTCCCCCCCTTTTTTCTTTTTTTCTCCCCTTCCCTCCCTCTTTCTTCCCTTTTTCTGTATTGTCATTTACCTTTTTGTCATTTAGCTTTTTAAGTCCCTTCTGCTGTGTTTTTCAGTGTTTTTATGAGTGAAGGACATACATTGGGTTGTTAGGTGTCTTGTGTCCAAATTTGGTGTCAATTCCCCCAGTGGTCTTTGAGTTACCGTATATTCCGGCATATAAGACGACTGGGCGTATAAGACGACCCCCAACTTTTCCAGTTAAAATATAGAGTTAAGACGACTCCCATGCATAAGACTACACCCGCATATAAGACGACCCCTGACTTTTGAGAAGATTTTCTTGGGTTAAAAAGTAGTCTTATACGCCAGAATATACTGTATGTTAATCCCACAAATGAACATTACGTTTTTATTTATATAGATGAACAGATGCTAGATGGCCATCTGTCGGGAGGGCTTGGATGGTGTCTTCCTACCTGGCGGAATGGGGTTGGACTGGATGGTCTTTGGGGGCCCCTTCCAATTCTATAATTCTATGATTTGCTCCAGCGAGTACCTTAAGTCGGACACGGAGGCTCTTCCCGGAGAGTAAGTGGATGCATCTCTCCATGATGTCTTTGGCCGTCTGGGCACGAAGCGGCAACCGGCTCTGCTCCTCACGGGCCTCAAACTCGCCATCCGGCAGCAGCAATTCTATGACATTAGAAAAGGACAGGTCACCTTCCAAGGAAAGGGCTTCTCTTGCGGAACTGCACCACTTACTTCTGGTTTTAAGCCCACAGTTGCACTCTGGCACTGAAACACCTTTTCACCCAGCACCACACCAGAGTCCAGTAATCTATATATATAAAAATGCTCTGTGCATAATGAGTACCTTAAAAACAAAAGAACCAATGAACAAAATCACACCACATTTGGCAACAAAACGTCTCACAACACAAGGAGTGATCATCAGACAAAAAAAAATATGATTTTGTCATTTGGGAGTTGTAGTCACTGGGATTCACAGTTCACCTACAATCAAAGAGTGTTCTGAACACCATCAATGATGGAATTGAACCAAACTTGGCACACAGAACTCCCATGAGCAACATAAAATACTGGAACGGTTTGGTGGGCATTGACCTTGAATTTGGGAGTTGTAGTTCACCTACATCCAGAGAGCACTGTGGACTCAATGATGGATCTGGACCAAACTTGGCACAAGCACTCAATACGCCCAAATATGAACACAGATGGAGCTTGGGGGAAATAGACCTTGACATTTGGGAGTTGTAGTCACTGGGATTCACAGTTCACCTACAATCAAAGAGCATTCTGAACCCCACGAACGACAGAATCAGGGCAAACTTCCCACACAGAACCCCCATGACCAACAGAAAATACATAAGGCCATCCAGTCCAACTCCCTTCACCAGGGCAAGAAAACATAATCAAAACCCTCCTGACAAAGAGCCATCCAGCCATAGATAATACATAGATATAATTCACACACAGAGAGATATAGATTTGAAAGGGACCCTTAAAGAAAGACAATGACATGTTGCCTGTTTCAAAATAGGCAAACCAGACACTCTCCACATCAACAGTGACAAAGAAACAGCAAAAAATACTGTTTACCCACAAGCACAAAGACATTACATATGTTACAAACCAACACTTTCGCATTACTTTATTTTCCAGATCAACCGACTGGGCCACAGCAATGTGTGGCATGGGACAGCTAGTACTATCTAAAATGTTTATTATGGAAAGCAGGTACAAAGGGGGAAAGGATCATTTCCACAAGGGACAGTAGAATAGAAAATACAAAATACAGTGGAGTCTCGCTTATCCAACATAAACAGGCTGGCGGAATGTTGGATAAGTGAAAATGATGGATAATAAGGAGGAATTAAGGAAAAGCCTATTAAACGTCGTATTATGTTATGATTTTACAAATTAAGCACCAAAACATCATGTTTTATTACAAATCAACAGAAAAAGCAGTTTAATGCACGAAATGTTGTGTAGTTATTACTGTATTTACGGATTTAGCACCAAAACATCACAATGTATTGAAATAGCTGTGGATCCAGGGGGGAGGCAGGTTGTCTTGGAATACAAAACATTGGATGAGTGAAGGTTGAGTAATCCAATAATAGGAAATACAAAATAGTAATAATGGCAAAAATGACAAAGTACATAAAGTCAAGAGAACCAGAAACCACAGCAGTTATTCAAACATGAATCCATAAACCAGAAAACAGGAGCTTCTTTCAAGGCAAACCCTTACAGGAACAAAGACCGCCCTGAGTCGCCTGCGGGCTGATATGGGCGGGATATAAATAATGTAAATAAATAATAAATAAATAAAAGACATGAGGCAGAAGAGGAAACTACAATCATGAACTTGAGAGCCAAGACAGGAAAATCATTCTTTAGCAACATTGTCGCCTCTGAGGGGCTTGAAGCCAGACTACTTAATTTAAGCCCATCCAGACACACATGACATCATGCCGAACACACCTGGACTTCGAGGGTCTTCTCACAGGTTCTGTGAGAATATCTAGTTTGTCTGTTTTTTTTACTCCCTCTGTTCTCAGGCCTAATCTAGTTTCCCAGGAAAACTCCCCATCAGCCCAAGGACTTTCACTTTCCCCTGTTGCTTGGGAACCAGAATCCAAAACATTGGCCTCCCCTGCATCAGCCTCAACTGCCTGCAATTCTCTCTGACCCGAGCCCTGCAATTCTCTCAGATGACACACAGACTTCTCAAATGTGTTGGAGCATATAAGGAATCAGTGAATTTCTGTGTCAACTGTAAAATAAGATGCATGGAGCTGATTGGTTGGGCTATGCCTGGGGAGCAGGCTGAGCCTGGGACTTTTGGATACTGTTATATTTATGTTCAGGCTGGAGCTATGCAAATGATTTTAATGGTTTTAATGTGTATGTATATGTCTAGTCTATTTATGTCCCAGCATTGAATGTTTGCCATTTATAAGTTGTGCTCCACCCTGAGTCTTCTTTGGGGTGAGAAGGGCGGAATATAAATGTTTCAAATAAATAAATATGCAGGTGTTCAGAGAGTAAAGAAAGGGTGAAGCAGAAAGAGGCAGAGTTTGGAGTGTGCTCTCGCTTCATGAACTGCTGAAGGAGTTTATTTATTTATTTACGACATTTCTATGCCGCCCTTCTCACCACGAAGAGGACTTAGAGCAGTTTACAAGATATATATGCATACAATATATTATATTATTAGCATAGTACAATATCAGTATTAAATATTACTATATTGTACTATAATAATGATGATGATAATAATAATTTAATTATATTCTGCTCTATCTCTCCAGAGGAACTCAGAGCGAATTCCAAACATAAAAGGCAAACATTCAATGCTCGAATACAACAATATATCCATAATAACAAAATTTATACAACCCAACATATTAACAAACTAAAATTAAATATACCATTATATTGTAATATTATTAGTAATATTACATGTAATATAAGTATTTATCATAATAACATATTATTAGTAGTAGTATTATATTGCATTACACCAGTGTTTCTCAACCTTCCTAATGCCATGACCACTTAATACAGTTCCTCATGTTATGGTGACCCCCAACTATACCATTATTTTTGTTGCTACTTCATAACTGTAATTTTGCTGCTGTTATGAATTCTAATGTAAATATCTGATATGCAGGATGTATTTTCATGCACTGGACCAAATTTGGCACAAATACCCAATACACCCAAATTTGAATATTGGTACGAGTTGTAGTTGCTGGGATATATTAGGTTCACCTACAATCAAAGAGCATTCTGAACTCCGCCAACGATGGAATTGAACCCAACGTGGCACACCGAACTCCCATGACCACCAGAAAATACTGAAAGGGTTTGGTGGGCATTGACCTTGAATTTTGGAATTGTAGTTCACCTACATCTAGAGAGCACTGTGGACTCAAACAATGATGGATCTGGACCAAACTTGGCATGAATACGCAATATGCCCAAATATAAACACAGATGGAGTTTGGGGGAAATAGACCTTGACATTTGGGAGTTGTAGTTACTAGAATTTATAGTTCACCTACAATCAAAGAGCATTCTGAACCCCACCAACGATAGAATTGTCCAAACTTCCCACACAGAATCCCCATGACCATCAGAAAATACTGTGTTTTCTGATGGTCTTTGGTGACCCTTGACACCCCCTTGCGACCCCCACAGGGGTCCCGACCCCCAGGTTGAGAAACACTGTATTACATTATATAATAATAATAATAATAATAATAATAATAATAATAATAATAAACCTTTATTTATACCCCGCTACCATCTCCCGGAGGACTCGGTGCGGCTTACAAGAGGCCGAGCCCAAATACATCAACAAAAACAACACAGCAATACAGACAATAAATAAACTCAGAAACAAAGCAATAAAAGTAATAATAACACCACAACATGTTAAAAACCTATGGGAGGGCCAAATGTAATAATTAAAATTTTAAAATACTGGGCATGACCAGGTGACATATAAGTAGGATGAATATTATATGTATATACAATACATTATATTATTAGAATAACATAGGAAACAAGGTGGAACTGTCTTCTGCCCCCCTCCATGTTTATTCACATGGACAAAGAAAGACAATTTTAAATCTCTCATAAAGGGACATCATGTGAGTTGATGTATAACTGACCGCATTGTACATATGTTGTTCTGAACTACGAAGAGTTAACTACTTGTTCTTTATTGATCATCTACGTGGCATATTTTCTTTCTCCGGCAAGGCTGTGTGTGAGTTGATCAAGCACCACAAAATGCACAAAATCCTATTTGCAAAACGTTATGAAGGGCAACTCCATTAGTTTTACTGTGTTTTACTGTGGATTCATTAGCATGCAGGACATACAGCCTTACGCCCAACCATAGACTGGGAAGCTTTGAGGCGTTACTGACCTTGCTCCTCGTCCTCCGACTCAGAGAGGTCGCCCTCTGCAACCCGCTTCTGTTTGACATATTCCTGGAAAAACTCCTCCATGTCCATTGCTGTTGGGGGCTGCAGGGCAGGGGCTTTCTCACGTGGATGGGTGGCCTCCACCCAAGGTCCACCTTCTGGCTCCTTGTCCTTCCGTGCTGGAGGCTCCACTTTGGACCAAGAAGCTGTAAACAGAGAGGAGGGAAAGATGATGGCTTCAACCAGTCAGGTTTGCAATTGACTGCTCCATTTTAAAGAGGAGAAGAGACTTCAAGGGCTATCCAGGAAGACACAATCCAAGCCCTCCCAACAGATGACCATCCAAACTCCAAATCTCCACTGCAAGACAGAAGATCCACATTCGAACAGCAAAAATGCTCAGGAAATTATTCCTAATGTTTACATTTTCCAGCAATTTGAATCCATTGCTCTGTATCTAGTCTCTGGAGCAGCAGAAAACAAACTTGACTCCTAATCACTGTGACATCCTTTCCGATATTTAGGCAAGACTCGGTCTCTTCTCTTGCCCTTCTTTTCCCAAACACAATGTTTCCAGACCTGTGGTCATTTTGGTAGCCCTGCTTTGGTGCCCAGAACTGTACACAGGGCTACTATTCCAGGTGAGTTCTGACCAAAGCAAAATAGAGAAGGACTATGATGTCTCTCCAACTGACGTAGTCTTTTTCTATGAGGTGTGTTAGAGTTTGTTATAGTACCTGGCAGAATAATAGTTAATTGAAAAGTTAATTGTAATGAATTACAATTACAATAACTAATAATTATTAATTAATTAATTGTAATTGTAACTAATTACAATTACAATAACTAATAATTATAAGTATAATTATTAATAACTGTAAAGTTAATTGTAATTAAGCAGAACTTAAGTTCTGAGTAAATCACAGAGTAATGAATGGAACCTGTAAGCAATAAAAAATAGACTGCAGTAAAGATGAAGTAATGCAGAAGGTGATTGATTAAAGGGAATGTAAATTAAGCAAGCAACCACGACATGTGGGCTTCCCAGTGAGAGAAGATTTTGGTGTGTGAAGGAGTTTGATTTAATGCTGTGAATTTGTGGATCAAATATTGCATAGATTTTAAATGCTGTATTTTATTGTTACTGTAATTGTTTATTGTGTATTTTTATTTTTGAGTGTTATTTTAACTGTTTGTATTGATTATTTGTTATCGCCTTTGTTTACTAATGTGCTGTGGGTGTTGTAACTCAGCGTCCTGGCAGTGTACCTACTAGTGGGTGTAGGAGGAGAAGGAGCGATGCAGAGTTGGAGGAGGAACAGTGTCAGCTGAAACGCATTCGGGATGTTATTATGGCGCCCAGTGATTCTGAGGACTTTGCAGGGTTTGGACCCGAAGACTTAGAGGAACTGGTTTACAGGGGAGTAAAACATTTTGCCAGTGAGACTGACAGTGATGAAGAAGTAATGAGCAAACGTCTTAAAGACGTAGCTGACAATTGCAGTTCGGATGAACAGGGATCCAATGATGGGGATATGGAAGAGGGGCTGGACTGGACTCAGGTTAGGGAAATTCAGGACATATGCACACAGCCCACGTCTAGTGATGAATTCGAGGGGTTTCATGATACATGGCAGGCAGGTACTTCTCGGGAGGATTCTGGACAAGATCAACGTTGGCAGCGCTGGCAAGGTAATGAGGCCACAGCTGAGGATAATGATCCAGGTGTAAGTGATGAGAGCCAATCCAGCGATAGCGACTGCTGATAAAATGAGGGCTTTGGGATGGGTAGATTTGCAGAGGACAAAGCGTTGTATCGGGTGTTTTGTGCTGCCTTACCTCCTTTTGGGTCCTGGGAATACAGCTATCGTGTCTTTGTGTGCCTCGACTCTGGGTTGGACTACATGAGTGACTTCGTCTTGCCCCCTGACTACGGAACGTCTCTGGACCACGCCATTTGCCTTCTGGACTTTGTTTGCTGCCTTTCTCCGTGTTTGACCTAAGACTGTTTGACTACGCTATTGCCATCTCCAGTTTTGCTCCTGTTTTCCTTTTTGAGAAACTAAGTTCTGGGATATCCGTTTGTTTACCTGCTTGAAGGCTTTTGTGTTGCTAATCGGTACTGCAGTTTAAGTTCTGTTAGCTTTGTTAAAGACCTATTAAAGACTTTGTTAACCCCTTACTAGCTGTGTTGGACAATCTTTGGGCTCTGAGTCACGACAGTGGGCTTGGCCTCATGTAAGCTGCACCAAATCCCTTGGGGAGATGGTAGCGGGGTACAAATAAATTTTATTATTATTATTATTACTGAGTAAAAGGTAAAGGTCTCCTCCTGACATTAAGTCTAATTGTGTCTGACTCTGGGGGTTGTTGATCATATCCATTTCTAAGCCAAAGAGCTGGCGTTGTCCGTAGACATCTCCAAGGTCATGTAGCCAGCATGACTGCATGGAGAACCGCTACCTTCCCACAGAAGCGGTGCATCTTAATATACTCATAGTTGCATGTTTTCAAACTGATACGTTAACGGCTGTTAAGAATGGTGGGAGTTGAAGTCCAAAACACCTGGAAGGCCCAAGTTTGCCCATGCCTGGTCTACACACATCCACACCCTCCCCACCTTTATGTAGAGTCCCCGTGCTCGGCTACCTAGCATCTGCATCAGTGTGTGCATGACTCCAAGGAATGACGACACCCGGTCAGTGTGGCACTGGTCCAGCTTGGCCAGAACGTCCTGGAAGACGTCCTGGACCAAAGGCAGCACATTGGCATCCGAGTGCCGGAGCATGGCTTCCAAGACCTGCAAGGCATGGGGCTCGTGGGCTATGTGTCGCAGCCGCAGGGAGATCCCATCCACCAAGTAGTCCGCGTTCTGGTTGATCAATTCGGGGACAGAGCCATAGCCACAGGCACAGCAGATCTCAGACAAGGTCCTTCGCGCTGCCTGGCCGATGAGCAACGTGGGGTCTCCGGCCTTCTCTAGAACCGGGTACAAAGCGGAGAGCAACAGCAAACGGAAGTCCCTCTTCAGTGCTTGGGCAAAGCAGCCAATGCCTTCTAGCTGGATGCAGATTTGCCAGATGTTGCTGTTCATGGAACGGATGGTGGGCTTCGGGTCGGACAGAGGAAGAGCTTGGCGGTGCGGTTCAGAGGCAACGGCAAGAAGACCGGAATATTTCACAGCCGGTTCAGTATCGGTCTCTTCGACCTCAGCGGTGGTGATCAGATGCCAGTTTGCTTGGTCTACATACTCTTCCAAAATGGATGCTACGACTTCCTTGAGATCCTCGGCACTCGGTCCCGTTTCCCGTTCCTGGAGGGCACGCACTTCCAACCCTGCAGCTCCGGCAACCAGTTGGTTGACCACCAAGGCGGCCTGCTTTCGGTACAAAGCCGATTCTCCGTAGAGATCCATGAAATGGTCCACAAGCAAATAGATGTTCCCATAGTAGCCGAGAACCCGGCAGATATGTTGAAGCAGAGGGAGGATCCGATCGTCGGTGAAGAACCGGAAGTACTTCCTCTGGACGCCGTCCTTGGCTGGTTCTTCCAGGCCTCCTGAACCCTGACACTTCTCCTCCACGATCTTCACGTCTTTCACATCCAGCTCCAGGACTTGCACTAAAGCTTTGGAGAGACGCTGGAGATGGGACGCCGAGTTGAGGACGGCGCTCACCTTGGGCCCCAACAGCTTCAAATAGCCAAGGAGCAGGTTCAGGGTCGACATCTTGCCCTGGTCGTCCTGGGAGTTCATTAAGCGAGGAAGAGCCGTGGCCAAGGAATGAAGGTCTTCTGCAAGGACGTCGGTGAGCTGCCTGTTGTCGGCCACCATCCCTTGAGCTGCGATGTTCTTAAGGACCTCGTTGCTCTGATCCTGGATTTCGGATCTTTCATCGTTTACGAAGCTCACCAATGCCTTCAAAAGCTCACCAATGGATTCTGCCAACGAGTGGCTGCATGTCCACATCAAGAGGCGAACCATTTCAACCAGTTCCTGCCTCGCTTTCCAGTGCGGATGGACGGACACGGAAGCAACCACCTTCTTGATAAGGATGGAGAGTTTGGCCGCAGTGCTTTTGCTCCATTCGGGGTCTCTGCGCACCACAAGCTGGGATATCCTGCTCTCCTCCAAGGCTGGCTTCTTCTTCTTCACCTCCTCCTCTTCTTCTGCTGGGATTTGTTTCAGCTCTTCATCCGCCATGACCAAAGCGATTGCTCTAGAGAAGACCCTCAGGGCCGAGACGACCACTGCGTGACCTTGCTTTGTATCTCCGGTAATGATTTGGGAAAGAGAGATGGAGATCCCAGGGAGGAAAGAGGCAAAGAGGTCTCCGCAGCGCCTCCTGTCCTCCTCGTCTAAAGGTCTGTGGTACTCCTGGCAGTCGCACTGCAAAAGGAGAGCCTGCAGGCATTTCAAGGCTTCGAGCTTGACGTGCCTGGCTTTCTCCCGCTCCGCTAAGGATAGAAGCAAGGATACAGCGAAGCCCAAGTGTGGAAGGGCGGAAGGCTGGTACAAGGACATGACCACGTCGCCATACGCCGAATGCAGCAAAGCCAGGATGGCCTGGATCACGGAGTGCTTCAGTTCCTCGGACAAAGAGGCCACTTGGCTCGGGGCGGACGGAGAGGCCAGGCACAGGCAGAGTTCGGAGAAGAGCTCGAGGAGGAGGTCGGGCTTTTTCACGCAAGTGGAAGACAACAGGAAGGCCATGCATTGCACCACGCTCTGGACCAGGCGCTCCCGTTTGGGACCGGGGGCCTTGAGGGCGAACCTCAGCGGGAAGAGGACGTACTCCTGCAGCTCCTGCAAGGCCGAGTCGCTGACCCTCCGAAGTTGGGCCTGCAGCTCCTCCACTGTCTCTACCGTCTGGACTTTGGTCAGTTGGACGCAGACAGGACGCAAGGCCCCAAAGGCCTCCTGCGGGGTGTCAAAGACGGCCATGGCCTCGGACCAGTCACTCGTCTCTCACGCTTCTTCTCAGGTCATCATTCTGTGGGTGGAAAAGGAGAAAGATCCATAAGAGCACAACTATGCCTCGGGTATTGCAACATTTTAAAAAAAAGGTAAAGGTTGTCCCCTGACATGAAGTCCAGTCATGTCTGACTCTGGGGTGTGGTGCTCATCTCCATTTCTAAGCTGAAGAGCCAGCATTGTCCATAGACACCTCCAAGGTCATGTGGCCTGCATGACTGCATGGAGCGCTGTTACCTTCCCACCAGAGTGGTACCTATTGATGTACTCACATTTGCATGTTTTCGAACTGCTAGATTGACAGAAGCTAGAGCTAATAGGGGAAGCTCACGCCGCTCCCTGGAATTGAACCTGTGACCTCTCGTTCAACAAGATCAGCAGCTCAGCGCTTTAACCCACTGCGCCACTCGGGGCTCCACTGCACTCCATCTCTGATTTCAATAATTGTACACAGACAGTTCTAATGATATTATTATTATTATTATTATTATTATTAGCAGTGGCGCAGTGGGTTAAACCCTTGTGCTGGCAGGACTGAAGACCGACAGGTCGCAGGTTCGAATCCGGGGAGAGCATGGATGAGCTCCCTCTATTAGCTCCAGCTCCTCATGCAGGGACATCAGAGAAGCCTCCCACAAGGATGATAGAAACATCAAAACATCCTGGCGTCCCTTGGGCAACGTCCTTGCAGACGGCCAATTCTCTCACACCAGAAGCGATTTGGTCATGTCACTCCTGACACGACCAAATAAAAAAAGATTATTAGCTGTACGCGCCACGCGTTGCAGTGGCCAACCTTCCCTCCCTCATTCTCTCCTCCTTTCTTTCCTTCCTTCCCTTTTTTCCTTTCAATCTCTTCTTCCTTCCTTCTCTTCCTCTTCCCTTCCTCCCCCTGCCTTTATTTCCCCTTCGTCTTTCTCCCCTTTCTTCCTTCTCTACCTATTCTTGGATTGTAACTCCCAGCAGTCCTTCTCATCAATCTATCTACCTACCTACCTATCTCTACGTAATCTATCTATCTGGAGGATTGCTGGGAGTTGCAATGCTCCAGATAGATAGATTAGGTAGAGATAGAATTAAAACAGGATTAAAGATATTTTCAAAAATCCCAGCTAAAAACCATTAAAACAAATGCAAATATCAAAATAGAATTAAACATGCAAATGATTAAAATCACTTGAAACACTTTAAAATGTGTTGTTGTTAAAAACAGTTAAGATAATTAAAAATATCCCCTGGTGCATTCTTAAAAACATTCTTCTTTAAAACTCTTCAACAACAACAACAACAAAAACTCCTAAAGCTCAGAAAGTTACTTTTTGGAGACTTTCTGACATACCAGGCAAGTAACTTTTCCAATCTCTGGGTATACATTCTGTGTTTATATATATATATATCTATTCTTACTTCTCCAAAATATCCCTGAGATCCCAGTAACCTCCCAATCCTCCCAGTTAAAGAGCCCAGTTCAACCTTGAAACCAGAGGAAAAACAACATGAAGAAACAACAACAACAACAACAACAACAACGTGAAGAAAAACTCCTAAAGCTCAGAAAGTTACTTTTTGGAGACTTTCTGACAATCCAGGCTAGTAACTTTTCCAATCTCTGGGTATACATTCTGTGTTTATATATATATATATCTATTCTTACTTCTCCAAAATATCCCTGAGATCCCAGTAACCTCCCATTCCTCCCAGTTACAGAGCCCAGTTCAACCTTGAAACCAGAGGAGAAACAACATGAAACAACAACAACAACGTGAAGAAAAACTCCTAAAGCTCAGAAAGTTACTTTTTGGAGACTTTCTGACATACCAGGCAAGTAACTTTTCCAATCTCTGGGTATACATTCTGTGTTTATATATATATATATCTATTCTTACTTCTCCAAAATATCCCTGAGATCCCAGTAACCTCCCATTCCTCCCAGTTACAGAGCCCAGTTCAACCTTGAAACCAGAGGAGAAACAACATGAAACAACAACAACGTGAAGAAAAACTCCTAAAGCTCAGAAAGTTACTTTTTGGAGACTTTCTGACAATCCAGGCTAGTAACTTTTCCAAGCTCTGGGTATACATTCTGTGTTTATATATATATATCTATTCTTACTTCCCCAAAATATCCCTGAGATCCCAGTAACCTCCCAATCCTCCCAGTTAAAGAGCCCAGTTCAACCTTGAAACCTGAGGAGGAATCCTTGCAGGGGATGATGGGCCTTGGAGTTGTCCAGGGATGGCTGGAAGTTGAGCCATTTCCCTTCCCTTTGGGGAGAAGCAGCAGCAACAGCAGACACTCACATGCCGGAAGTAAAACTCTCTCTTTTTCCGGAGCGAAATATCTCCCGCAGGGGAGCAAATGGAAGAGAGAGCGCGAAAAAGGTCCTAAGTGGCAGAGCAGCGCATGTGCGGGAAAAGGGAGCGAACTGCGCATGCGTTTCTTTTCTACGGGATCTAAGGAAAAAAAGAGCAAGCTAGTGCGCATGCGTCAGTGGAGGAGCTATCGAAGGGAGCGAACTGCGCATGCGTTTCTTTTCTACGGGACCTGAGGGGAAAAAGAGCAAGCTAGTGCGCATGCGTCAGTGGAGGAGCTAGCGAAGGGAGCGAACTGCGCATGCGTTTCTTTTCTACGGGATCTGAGGAAAAAAGAGCAAGGTAGTGCGCATGCGTCAGTGGGGAAGTTATCGTCCGCGCATGCGCGAAGCGCTTTTTCGCGTAGTTTGTCTCGCCTTGCCTCTGCGATGGGTAGGCCTTCCCGCTCTCGGCGTGCTTTTGTCCCCCTTCGGCGACCCGTAGCTCGCTGGTCTTTGAACCGGAGGTGAAAGCGGTCGGCCATTTTGTGGCGGTTTTCCAGAAGAGGGGGCCAAACAGAGAGGCCTGGTCTGGTCCGGCCAGGCCGGGCCTCCTCCTCCTCCTCCGCCATCATCATGTCCTCGTTCTCGGAGTCTGCGCTGGAGCGGAAGCTGTCGGAGCTGAGCAACTCGCAGCAGAGCGTGCAGACGCTGAGCCTGTGGCTCATCCACCACCGCAAGCACGCCGCCCCCGTCGTCGCCGTCTGGCACCGGGAGCTACGCAAGGGTGAGTCAGGGAGGGAGGGAGGGGTTCCCGAGGGCATCCAGACCACCCCAACAGCCCAGCCAGCTTGGCTCCTGCTCAGAGAATCAGGGAGTTGGGGGAAGACCCACAAAGGCCATCCAGTCCAACCCCCTTCTTCCTTTCGACTAAAATGATCAAGGGTCTGGAGAACAAGCCCTATGAGGAGCGGCTTAAGGAGCTGGGCATGTTTAGCCTGAAGAATCATAGAATCATAGTGTTGGAAGAGACCTCATGGGCCATCCAGTCCAACCCTATTTTGCCAAGAAGCAGGAATATTGCATTCAAATCACCCCTGACAGATGGCCATCCAGCCTCTTGTTTCAAAGCTTCCAAAGAAGGAGCCTCCACCACACTCCAGGGCAGAGAGTTCCACTGCTGAACGGCTCTTACAGTCAGGAACTTCTTCCTCATGTTCAGATGGAATCTCCTCTCTTGTAGTTTGAAGCCATTGTTCCACTGCGTCCTAGTCTCCAGGGAAGCAGAAAGGAAGCTTGCTCCCTCCTCCTCCCTGTGGCTTCCTCTCACATATTTCTACATGGCTATCATATCTCCTCTCAGCCTTCTCTTCTTCAGGCTAAACATGCCCAGCTCCTTAAGCTGCTCCTCATAGGGCTTGTTCTCCAGACCCTAGATCATTTTAGTCTCATAAGGTGGGGAGGGTGTGGATGTGTGTAGACCAGGTATGGGCAAACATGGGCCCTCCAGGTGTTCTGGACTTCAACTCCCACCATTCCTAACAGCCGGTCAGCTGAACTTGCTGACCAAAAGGTTGGCATTTCAAATCCAGGGAGCAGGGTGAGCTCCCGCTGTTAGCCCCAGTTGCTGTTAGCCCCAGCTGCTGTCAATGTATCAGTTCAAAATGCAAATATGAGTAGAGGCACTGCTTCTGTGGGAACGTAACGGCGCTCCAGGCAGTCATGCTGGCCACATGACCTTGGACAATGCCAGCTCTTTGGCTTAGAATTATAGAAATATAGAATCAAAGAGTTGGAAGAGACCTCATGGGCCATCCAGTCCAATCCCATTCTGCCAAGAAGCAGGAATATTGCATTCAAAGCACCCTCAACAGATGGCCATCCGGCCTCTGTTTCAAAGCTTCTAAAGAAGGAGCCTCCACCACACTCCGGGGCAGAGAGTTCCACTGCTGAACGACTCCAGCGGTCCTAGAAGCTCTTTATTAGGCTTTAAGATTGCTTGCACACTGCACTCACACTAAAATCCGACATACTACCTGTCACATCAGCACTTTTAATCTGTACCCATTACATTTGGCCCGGCCCCAGTTTTATTGTGTTTGGTGTATTGTTTTATTGTTTTTAATATTGCTTTAATTGTTTTGATTTGCTTTAAGTTGTGCGTTTGTTATGCTATGTTTGTGAGTGAGTGAGTGAGCAGGCCAGTGCCTGGTGGAGGGGTTCCCGAGGGCATTCAGACCAGCCCCAGTAGCCCAGGCAGCTTGGCTCCTGCTCAGAGAATCAGAGAGCTGAGAGATACCCCTGAAGGCCATCCAGTACAACCCCCTTCTTCCATTCAACTAAAATGATCAAGGGTCTGGAGAACAAGCCCTATGAGGAGCGGCTTAAAGAGCTGGGCATGTTTAGCCTGAAGAAGAGAAGGCTGAGAGGAGACACGATGAGGGCCATGTATCAATATGTGAGGGGAAGTCACATGGAGGAGGGAGCAAGCTTGTTTTCTGCTGCCGTGGAGTCTAGGACGCAATGGAGCCATGCCTTCAAACGACAGGAAAGGAGATTCCACCTGGACATTAGGTAGAACTTTCTAACCAGATTCATACAATGCTACCTGTGCTAGGACACTGAGAGGATTCTTAGCATCTAATAGCATTGTTATGGAACTCCAGTGAAAAGCAGGACGTCTGTGTTTAGCATAATCAAAGAATCGATGGAGAGGAGCTCACGCTGACGGACAAGCAAAGTGACCATTGCCTTCAAAGAGAGATGGAGGCATACGAGCACTGACCTCTCCTGACACTCGTGGAGACTCTTCAACTTGGTGCATTGTGTGCATTTGCTTTTTTCAGGAGAGCCAAAAAGGCACTGCCAGGGCTACCTATGCCCAGAAGGACACCAAAAGGCCGACTGGCAACAGGAAATGGCAGTGTCCCAAGGGACAACAGCTCAGAAAGGAAAATCCAACCAGAAAGGCAACAGCATTCATAGAATCAAATCATAGAATCCAAGAATTGGAAGAGACCTCATGAGCCATCATCCAGTCCAACCCCATTCTGCCAAGAAGCAGGAACATTGCATTCAAATCACCCCTGACAGATGGCCATCCAGCCTCCGTTTAAAAGCTTCCAAAGAAGGAGCCTCCACCACACTCCGGGGCAGAGAGTTTATTTCGGTTGCTTCTACCCCGCCGTTCTCACCCCGAAGTGGACTCAGGGCAGCTTACAAAAGCAAGGCACAATTTGATGCCCGCATCACATAACAATAAGACAAAATAATATCCATTAACAGAAAACAGCAATTCTAGCAATAACATCAATTAACAGAAACAACAATTCTTGCAAGGCAAAAACAACCATAAAAGCAATAAAACCAATACAAACCATTTCTCCTCATTGACGGTCAGCATTTTGGAATCTCATAGTTCAAATTCCAATTTCACAATTGTCAGTCCTGTCAGTCCTATCTATCTGATTGTCCTTATCTAGTTGTCAGATTGCCCGAAGGCCTGGTTCCACAACCACGTCTTTACCTTCCTCCTGAAGGAGAGGAGGGATGTTAATGCCCTAATTTCCCCTGGGAGTGAGTGCCACAGATGAGGGGCCACCACTGAGAAGGCCCTGCTCCTCGTCCCCACCAGCCTCACTTGTGATAGCGGTGGGGTCGAGAGCAGCCCCCCCCCCCCCAGATGATCTCAAATTCCGGGGTGGGACGTAGAGGGAGATACGTTTGGACAGATACACTGGACCGGAACCGTAAAGGTTTTTGTAGGTCAAAACCAGCACCTTGAATTGTGCTCGGAACTGAACTGGCAACCAGTGGAGCTGACACAGCAGGGGGGGGGGGGTGTGCTCCCTGTATGTCGCTCCAGTGAGAGTTCCACTGCTGAACGACTCCAGAGGTCCCAGAAGCACTTTATTAGACTTTAAGATTGCTTGCACACTGCACTCACCTTAAAATCCGACATACTACCTGTCACATCAGCACTTTTAATCTGTGTTTCTTGTTCATTCGTTCAGTCGTCTCCGACTCTTTGTGACCTCATGGACCAGCCCACGCCAGAGCTCCCTGTCGGCTGTCACCACCCCCAGCTCCTTCAAGGTCAGTCCAGTCACTTCAAGGATGCCATCCATCCATCTTGCCCTTGGTCAGCCCCTCTTCCTTTTGCCTTCCACTTTCCCCAGCATTATTGTCTTCTCTAGGCTTTGCTGTCTCCTCATGATGTGGTCAAAGGACTTCAACTTTGTCTCTACTATCCTTCCCTCCAATGAGCAGTCGGGCTTTATTTCCTGGAGGATGGACCGGTTGGATCTTCTCACAATCCAAGGCACTCTCAGAACAGTCTATAGGCTCTTTCAATCTTTTCCACAGGGATCAGGCACTATCTTCATGACTGGTATTTTAGCTAATAGGGAAATCCTTAACTTCTAATCTGGGCAGTCTTTCTTTGCCTCTGTTGGTATGGAGCCTCTACACCTGGTACCAACTGCGTCTGGCTTCCGTGAGAGACCCTTACCAAGCAGAGCTTTGTAGACTTCCAGGGAAAAAGGAGTTCAGGTTTCGGTGATGGCTGGCTGAAGTCCCTCAGCAAAGGAGCTGTAAGGCTGCAAAATCCTCAGCCAAGCTGTGGGCCTTCTCTCCCTGGTCAAGCTGTAGGGCTGTATAACCCAGGCCAAGCCGTAGAAGACGAAGCTTTCTACAGGAGCTCTTGGTATTATGTCCTGCATGAAAAGCTTCTCTGTGTGGACAGAACCCAAACTGGCTCCTGTTCCCTCCAAAACCCAAAAAGGGGGCGGGACTAGGGAACCTAACTATAATTGACAGGTGGCTTGCCCTATGATTGCAGCCAAAAGAAGCCACCTATCTGCAGAGTCCCTGAAACTTAGGACTGCAACAAACATTCAATGCAAAGCAAACAAAATTGGAGGTCCTGGTGCAGTTGTACCTGCACATTCTTCCATTCGACTAAAATCAAGAATCAAAGAGTTGGAAGAGACCCCATGGGCTGTCCAGTCCAACCCCATTCTGCCAAGAAGCAGGAATGTTGCATTCAAATCACTCCTGACAGATGGCCATCCAGCCTCTGTTTAAAAGCTTCCAAAGAAGGAGCCTCCACCACACCCCGGGGCAGAGAGTTTCACTGCTGAACGGCTCTCACAGTCAGGAACTTCTTCCTAATGTTCAGATGGAATCTCCTCTCTTGTAGTTTGAAGCCGTTGTTCCTTGTTCTAATCTCCATGGAAGCAGTAAACAAGCTTGCTTCCTCCTTCCTGAGAAGGCTGGGAGGAGACATGATAAAGGCCATGTATAAATATGTGAGGGGAAGTCCTAGGGAGAAGGGACCAAGCTTCCTTTCTGCTTCCTTGGAGACTAGGACGCAGTGGAGCAATGGCTTCAAACTACAAGAGAGGAGATTCCACCTGAACATGAGGAAGAACTTTCTAACCAGAAGCACTTTATTAGAAATTAAGATTGTTGGCACACTGCACTTACCCCATAATCCTTACATACCACTTGTCACGTCAGCACTTTTAATCCTGTACCCATTACTCTGGCCCGGCCCAGTTTTATTGCGTCCTGGTGTATTGTTTTATTGCTTGTTGTTTAATATTGCTTTAACTGTTTTTAATTTGCTTTAGGTTGTGTATTGTTATGTTGTGTTTTGAGGCCTTGGCCTTTGTAAGCCGCATCGAGTCCTTTAGGAGATGCTTGTTGTTGTTGTTCATTCGTTCAGTCATCTCCGACTCTTCGTGACCTCATGAACCAGCCCACGCCAGAGCTCCCTGTCGGCCG